TACCCTGAGGGCAGATGAAGATGTGACTCTGAGGGTCAGAGTAGACTTTTGAAAACACTGTGATGATGATGATTATAGTTGTGATGATGGTGATAATGGTAGTGGTGGTGGTGGTGATGGTGGTGGTGGTGATGGTGGTGGTGGTGATGGTGGTGGTGGTGGTGATGGTGGTGATGGCGGTAATAGTGGTGGTGGTGGTGATCGTGTTTCCTCACTAATTAGGCTACCAAACATGGGTTTCTGATTGTGCAGTTCTGCACAGTCAGCTGCTTCCACTGAGTTTCGTTTGGATTTTGATGCTTTCCTCTTCCACGAGTTCTTGTCATGTAAATTTACGTTTTATAATAAAAATAATGCAAGGCCCGAGAAAACATTAAAGATCATCTCGGTGTTCCTGTTTATAAGTCAGTGTCACATGGATGGATGGATTTGATAACACTGGGGTAAATACATGAGAACAAAGCTTTGCTTTTTTATTTCTAGTGGTGGGATTACAGGTCACTAGACATTTAAAAACATTCTCTAGTTTTCACATTTTTCCTCAATGCATGATGGTGATGGTGGTGGTGGTGGTGATGGTGGTGATGATGGTGGTGGTGATGGTAGTGGTGGTGGTGATGGTGGTGGTGAAGGTGGTAGTGGTGGTGGTGACGATGATGATGATGGTAATGGTGATGATACAAATTAGAATGTTGTGTTCTTTGTGTAGAGAGCCACTACCTATTGTTGTGCTTGCAAGCAAAAGAAACTGAGTTTGGGTTTCCCTTCAGGAACACGAGAATTACTTTGGATATCTGATTCCCATCACCAAGGCAAGCCTGGAGAACCAGACTTGAAAAGTTGTATTGACAGGACCATATATCTCCACAGGCCCTGGGAACAGGAAGCACAACTGTCATTTGTGGGAGACTGCCACCACTTCTCTCATATGATTCAGTCAACATTCTGAGCTCCAGGCAGCTGCATGTTTGTTCCTAGACTCGAGTCTTGAGGCTAATGGGCTTAGGCAGGCAGCACTTAGATCCCGAGGCTTCCACAGTGGGAGAAAAGTCATTGTGACCCCCAAATAGTGAAGCTAAGTTGATGTCAGACAGCCATATACCTCCACTTTCATACGCGTGTATATATTATATGTTATACATATATACATATATGATATATCTATGCAGCATCGGAATACAGGAAGGAAAAAGAATCTCAGGTCAATGGCAATGACCCAATCTTCAACAGGATTATAGAAGAAAACTTCCCTAAATTAAGGAAAGACATACCTATAGAGATTCAAGAAATACATAGAACACCAGTTAGATATGATCAGAACAGAAACTCCCCACGGCATATCATAATAAAAACATTAAATGTACAGAACACAGAGTGGGTACTGAAAGCTGCCAGAGAAAAACAGTTACAGATAAAGGAAAACCCATCAGAATTACGGCTAACTTTTCAATGCGAACTATGAAAGCCATAAGGTCCTGGACCCAAATATTCCCAGTTCTAAATGATCATGGATGCCAATCCTGAGTACTTTATCCACCAAAACTATCTATATGATATATCATACGTATATGATAACAATAGCAGCATCAGGTATTGGCCAAGCCCTTTTAAAAATTTTTCAGGCTTATTTGCGTCTCACTACAGATACTCAAGATGAAAGCATGCATCATATGTTCATAAATAAAATCTTTTGCCTAAACATTTAAGTCTTAGCTAAAGAGTCTAGTGAGCTGAAAGAGGCAGGATTTAGACCTTGTGAAACAAGATCATTTCAACTTTGAACCTTCTCTGTACAGAAGTCATTCACCTCAAGCCGTCAGGGGAGAGAGCACGGGGCAAGTAGCAAAGAGAGAGACTGCATTATACCCAGACATGATATAACCTGTTACTAAAAGAACAGGGAGGACAGAGACCAGAACTAAGATTCTCTGGGAAATTACCTGTAACCAGAGCACCCTCACACAGATGGAGCAAGCGAATTAGGACAAAGGCCTTGAGCTGCTTGATGACCTTCCTGAGACCTGTGATAGACTCAGATTCCCCCTTCAGCCACCTCTACATTTGCAATGTTACAAATGAGTTTTTGGATGACCAGGACAAGATAGCTTACCACATTAGACATGAGGCACCTTACACTGTTATCCTATGATCCCACAGTTCAGAATTGTGAGTGATTAACTGAAATCTTTGGAATGTACTATGTGAATCAATAAAGTTATTATTTTATAATAACTAGGCTATTACGTCTCGCTGACATGGGTCTGGTCACCATAGAGCACTGACAGGGTTGTACAATGAGACTAGTCGTGTTTTGATGCCTGTCAATGCACTTTTCATCCTGCAGACCATGGATCAAGGAGTAATTTTGACTCTCAAGTCTTACTATTTAATAAATATATTTTAGGGCAGACATTGTGGTGTATGTCCATAGTCTCAGCTATACAAGAGGCTAAGGCAAGAGGATCTCTTGAGCCCTGGAGTTTGGAACCAGCCTGGCTAACATAGCAAAACTCTTAATTTAAAATTACACTTCATGAGGGCTGGAGAGATGCCTCGGCAGTTAAGAGCACTGGCTGCTCTTGCAGAGGATTCAGGTTCGGTTCCCAGCACCCACATGGCAGCTGGCAGCCATCTGTAACTCCAGTTCCAGGGCAATCCATCCAACGCCCTCTTCTGGCCTCTGTGGGCATTGCACAACATGGGTGCACCTACACACATGCAGGCAATATACATAAAATAATAAATAGGGCTGGAGAGATGGCTCAGCGGTTGAGAGCACTGACTGCTCTTGCAGAGGACCCGGGTTCGATTCCCAGCACCCACATGGCGGCTACAAACAGTCCTTGACTCTAGTTCCAGGGGAATCCAAAGCACTCTTCTGACCTCCGTGGCATTGCACGACACGGGTGCACTCACATACATGCAGGCAATACACTCATGCACATGGAATGAAAATAACAAAATATTTTGAAAAAATAATAAATAATAAGTAAAATATTTAAAAAACGCATTTCATAAGGCTTTCACTACTGTAAATAATTCTTTGGAACTCTCTGGAAAGGAGTCAGCATTCTAGAGCCTATTAAGAATGTTCATGATTCAAGGGAGGAAGTCAAAGTATGATTAAGAGACACTTGTAAGATTTGATTCCAGTCCCTATAGGTGATGTTAAGGGGTTGGGGCTCCCTTAGAGGAAGTAACTGTGGGCGTAGTGGAACTAGAAGGATTATAGTTAGAAGTGGAGCCCAAAGATGCCACTGAATTGTTGCCATCACATTGCAAAACTTTAAAAATGGATAAGGTGTTGCTTCCTGCGGATAAGCAACGGAAGTGGTTCCCTCAGGTGGCGTGTCATCTGTGAGGATGTTGTGGACATGGTGAAATGGTAACCCAGAACTGGGAAGATGACAGCGGCAAGGATTGGCAGGAGGGACTCCAGTTTGGAAGGCGTTTCTCCGGTGTGTAAGATGCTGTCAAACAGCAGCACGTGCCGCAGAGAAATGTCTCATAGAAAGAAGAGTCAATCAGACGACATGTTTTATTTTTAAAATACTGTCTTAAAATATTTTATTTTTAAAAATTGCTGGGCATGAAGAGGTGGCTCAGCAGGTAATAGTAGTTGGTAAACATGAGGACCTGAGTTCAAATTCAAGCACCGCTTAACAAACTAGGCATGGGCACAAGTCATTGTAACCCCAGTGCTGTGGGGGGAAGAAAGAGGATCAGTGGGGCTTTGTGGCAGCCAGACTAGCTGAAAATGAGCGAGCTCCAGGCTCAGTGAGAGACCTTGTCTCAGGGAATAAGATGGAGTGGCATGCTTCTCTGGCCCCCATGTAACTGCACACACATGTACAAACACCATGCATGTACATTCTCTGTGTCTCTCTCTGCCTCTGTCTCTCTCTGTCTCCCTCTGTCTCTCTGTCTCTCTCTGTCTCTCTGTCTCTCTCTGTCTCTGTCTCTCTCTACACACACACACACACACACACACACACACACACAGTTGCCAAACTAGGCATGGTAGCTACATGGACTGTCTCTCCACACACACACACACACACACACACACACACACACACAGAGTTGCCAAACTAGGCATGGTAGCTACATATAGGACATATGGACCAGAAGATTGGGAGTTCAAGGCCATTCTTGAATTCTTGATTACGTAGTGAGTTTGAGGCCAGTATGGACTACATGATACCAAGTCTCATCATGTAACTCTGGCTGGCCTGGAACTCACACACACACACACACACACACACACACACACACACACAGAGTTGCCAAACTAGGCATGGTAGCTACATATAGGACATATGGACCAGAAGATTGGGAGTTCAAGGCCATTCTTGAATTCTTGATTACGTAGTGAGTTTGAGGCCAGTATGGACTACATGATACCAAGTCTCATCATGTAACTCTGGCTGGCCTGGAACTCATTAGGTAGACTAGGCTGGCCTCAAACTCACAGAGATCTGCTGTCTCTACCTCTGGGATTAAAGGCAGGGGCCACCGTGCCCAGACTTCAAAACATCAAATAAATAAAATAAGAAGAAATTTCCATAACTACCCCAATCTTAAGCAGCCACCACCTCAATCAGTCTACAGCCATCAGCATGTTGGCAAGAGCTGCTAGAGCCAGAAAGATGATGACTTGCTGAAGGCTTGGGTGGCTGTGAGCACCTTTGAACAAGAAGCCATTATCTCTTCTGGTCGATGTACTGATCTGGGGAGACACAGTGACACTACACACAGAAGAGAACACAGTATGGTATAAACAAACCCTTATACGTGCTGAGAAAGGAAACGCATCCTGTCACTTGGTCTACTGCTATATTCACTTTCTGGAAGTGGACTAGATCTGAATCTGCAGTGTCTATGAGGGAACATTCTGTGTCTGAGAGGATTTGGTTCACTGAAAGCACCCAGTCAGTTTCCCATGGAGGTCCTTGCTACTCTCCAGTCTCCTCACCATGAAGAACAATGGAGCCAACACATTTCAAAATAGGAAATGAGTTTAATAGGAAGTTTCCCTTTCATTCTAAGAAGGTGACATCTCCCACCCCATTGCCTATAAGGCCTTGCTCTTCTAATATGGCGTGCTTAGAGATCTTGGCAGGTGTTTTGGCTTGAAAATCTTTTGTGAAATATAGTCCAATAAGCTGATTGGGGAACAGGAGGCAATGAAGATCCACAGGTAAGTCAGCCTCCCTGGGGTATAAATGGGGAAGGGGTTCTTCGAAGAAATGGCATGTTGGATATCCCGGAGCACCGGGGTAATGTCCGGGCTGGACCTGGTCTTCATGATCTTAAGGGTGTCCTTCTGCAGCTGGATGTAGTCCTGGCCATAGTCTTCCTGAACCTCTTTGGGGAGGTGGTCCAGGACATCCTTCTCCATCTTTTCCCAAAGGTCAGGTGTGCCTGGGAAGTCTGGAAAACAAGAAAAGAGTCAGATGCTGGGATGGCCAGACTGACTTAGGGAGGCAGATGCTTCTGAACTAGCCTCTGCTCAGAAAGATGGGTGTTTGCAAATGCCCCTTAGAATGTATGCTTCACAGTGTCATTATTTATCAATCTGTATACGGCCTAGAAAGATGGCTCAGTGGTTAAAAGCATCTCTTGCAGAGGACTTGGGTTCAATTCCCTGCACCCACAGCAGGTGGCTCCCAACTACCTGTGACTCCAGTCCCAGAGGACCTGATTTCTTCTGCCTTCTGAGGACTCCTGCACACATATGACGTGCATACATACACTCAGGTACACACATAACATAAAAATTAAATAAATAAATCTTCCTACATACGAAAGAAAGCACAGATGGTTGGAATTTTCACAAACTGAATAGCCCAAGTAACCAGAGCCAGACCAAGAACAGAACAGTGCCAGACTCAAGGTCTCCCCTTAGCCCCCTTCCAAGCTGCCCTTGTCCTCACAAACCAGACAGGCAAATTTTGCCTGTTTTGAACACCCTCTTTGATGCCAGCCTGTTTACCCAATGTTATGTGTGTATGATCCATCTACATGTGCTGTGCTCATTCTCTTTAGAGATTTAAATTTTTGTTCAAGTACATGTATGTCTGTGCCTAGATTTGTACATATATGTGCAGTGCACGTGGAAGCCAGAGGAAGGAGACGGATCTCCTGGAGCTGGGGTTACAGGTGGCTGTGAGCCCCCACCATGGGTACTGGGGGCTGAGCTTGGTCCTCTGGAAGAGCAGCAAGGTGCTCTTAGCCTCTTAGCCACCTCTTCAAGCCCCTCGTGCTCTTTATTACATAACTTTCCATTGCATAAATACGCCAAAAATTAAAGAGTCCAGTATACTGTGATAGACATTTGTGTTGTTTTCAGTTTGAGGTTCTTGTGACGATGGCTGCTTCAAGCAGTTAGTACATGTCATTCAATGATGACTCCATGTGTAATACATACTCTAATCTCTATAATGCAGCATACTACATACAATATATTCTGTCTCTGCACATGCAAATATATCCTATACATAGTATGCATATATAATTGATCCATTAAATATAGAAACAGTATGTGCTGTTTCTACTATGCTGAAAATTAAATATATAGCTTAAATTATGTTATGTATGTAATTACATAATTTTAAACATTAATTTTAAAAATTTTATGTGTATGAGTGTTTTGTCTGCATGTATATAATTGCACCTGTACATGCAATGCCTGCAGATGCCAAAAGAGGGTGTTGGATCCCCTGGAACTGGAGTTATAGGTGGTTGTTAGCCACCATGTGGGTGCTGGGGACTGAACCCAGGTCCTTTGCAAGAACAGCCAGTGCTCTTAACTGCTGGGCCATCTCTACAGCCCCTAAACATTAATTTTTTTGAGACAGAGTCTCCCTGTAGCCCCAGCTGGCCTGGAACTTACCATGTAGAGAGGCTGGCCTTGATCGCCTGCCTCTGCCTCCTGAGTGCTCGGATTAAAGGTATGCACTACCACACCTGACCCCAAATGTATTTTTAATATGATGTCAATATACATTTAAATCCTATTATGTAAATGACATATCATTAAATAAAATATATTTTAATATACAATGCCTGCTTGTTATATAAAATTACATAAAATATGTTTACTTTAAAATACAGCAGCAATGTTTGCTTACTATAGAAATGAATAGCAAAGAGATGTCCGTATCTTTAAAGCTAACCTTATTTGCTATAATTAACAGTGTTGTGTGCTCGTTTACCATTTCTCCTTATACGTATGCTGCATTTTATTTTACAATGAAGGAATAAAGCCAAAAATGTTAGACTGTAAATTTTCCTGGTCAATGGCTATAGATTTAAGGGTGCCGGAGAGATGGCTCAGCAGTTAAGAGCATTTAATGTTCTTACGAGAGTTCAGTTCCCAACACTCATGTTAGGAGGCTCACAACTGCCTGACTCCAACTCCAGGAGATCCAACAATTTTCTTGCCTCCGCAGGCACTGCACATACACACACACACACACACACACACACACACACACACAAGTAAAAATGAAAATTTAAAAATCTTTAGGTGGTGACTTAAAGCAGGGCGATGGTTTTTCCACTGAACAGCTTTCAGCCAGTCACTTACCCACCAAAGTATTCCCAGTGCTTGCCGATGATGCAGTCAACAGACTCACACCATCTACCTGGATGGACGTACCTGGGCTTTGTTTTTGTAGGCTACAGTTTCCCTCAAGGCACGGCCACTTGGCTGAAAGGCACATGCATTTTGGATTGTAATAGCTACTGCTGAAAATGTTGAGTCCCCTTGTGCTCCATCCTGCACAGGGGACAACGGCTGGCTGACTGTGGATGAGCCTTCATTGCTAGACTGTGTGATTCCTGTATGATGTGTTGAATCCCTGAAGTCCAGCAACGCTCATGGGATGCGAGTGAGCTTCCAACGGCCTGCTTCTCTTCATGAAGGCACAACGCTATACATAGAGAAAAGATCACCCTAACAATTCATCTGGAGGCTGAACCTTGACAACCAGGATTGTTTGCATGAGCTAGTGTCTCTCCTGCTGCCTGACTCCCAATCTATGATTTCACAGGCTAGAGAGTTCCTTTCTCTCTCTACTTCATGGGCTTTTATGACATATATTCATTCGTTCATTTGTTTATTTGTCTATTTATCGTATGGGGGGGGGTAGATGATACACAGGCCATGACAGAAGCCAGAGAACAACACAAAGAGTCTGTTCTCTCTTTCTACTACGCAGGTCCCGGGGATGGAACTCAGGTCCTCAGACTTGGCAGCAAGTGCCTTTCCCCACCAAACCATCTTAACCACCCATCTGTGAACTAACCAGTTTTGTGAATACACTGCCTAAACCCCCCAAGCCTCTCTCTATGGATGACGGCGTCATCAGCCTTTTGCCAACCATCACCAACCACTTCCATTCATCCCCTGCCACTTTGTGGGGACATACAATGTATCACTCTAATCGGAATCCAAATTCCACCTCTGCCTTGTGTCGGCTCTGGGTTGGGAAGTTAACTTCTCTGAGCCTTGATTTTTCCTCGCTGAAAGATGAAAATGTTCGGCTGCCACTTCATAGGTGAGGACTGAGTGAAACAATACAAGTAATTGGCGTGTTTAATATGTGCTGGGTGAGCAACATGCTATCTGTTTTTATCATAGAGCACTGGAAGAGAAATCTGGTCTGTGTTCTTGAATGTTCTGAGAAGCCCCTGCCGTTGGTTCCTTTCCCTGCTTCCTCCGTCGCTGCAGACAAGGGTGAAGCATTGTTCTCTAACTTTCCCTCTGCTCTCTGACTTCCTGCCTTCAAAGCTCAGCAGATATTAACGGCAAACAGGATCAGCCTGGTATGAAAGACGAGGCACAGGCCCTGCGTCAGTGGGGTCTGGCTTCAAATTCTTACCATCAGGGGGTTCCAGGGCTTCCCTCAGCACCCTCATCTGGAGAACGGCAGCTAGACATGTACCATATTTATTTTATAAATAACTATAAGACAGGAGCTCAAAGGTCCCTAACAGACTAATGAATTTTGGAGAGGTCTGGCAGGACTAGGGATTGAATCCAGGGAGCCCATGCATGCTAGGCAAGCACTCTACCACTGAGCTACAGCTACAGTCGTTGGTTAACTTTTAAGAAGATCTCATTGCCTCTCTCTCTCTCTCTCTTCCTCTCTCTCTCTCTCTCTCATACACACATACACACAATACACACACACCACGTGTATATAACTATATTGTATCTTCACACTGTTTCCCATAAATACGTACAATTATTATGTGCCCAT